TTCCAGGTTCACAATTTGTCCATTGCGTTATATGTTTGCGCATTTAATTTTATATGCTTGGAAAACAATATTATTTGCTTACTAACATGAAAGGAACATATGTCAGCTTGAAATCTAAGTTGGATATTATTTGTTGTACCGTTATGAAAAATAGATGTGCGGCTAATGTCCTAAATTATCCACATGCAGAGAGGAGGTTTATAAATACCCCTTATATTTGATCTAGTATGTAATAAGGGTTTTACAATCACTATCCTTTTTCCTTGTATGCTTTCAGTTTACTATATTTTCGTAATTTTTATCTTGTTCAGACATCGTGTCGTTCCTTTCAATGTTAACCAAAATGCACTTGCATCATGACTCACTCGTTGTTCTACGGATTACCCGGCATTTCATATTTTCTTACTGCATATAAACGTTCGTTTGGTATTTGTTCAAATACGTACTCTTAATAAAACTATGTATAATCTTTTCTTGTTGCATGGTTCTACTCTGCTAACCATAGATTTCTACATGTACTAAACGGTTTTGAATGGACAGTGTTAAATGATTAACCGTTGGGCTATCAACGTAATTTGAATAAATGTTCACCTTATTACAGGTCCTAGCAAAGCCTCTGGGGAAATTAAAATCATTCACTTAAGTAATTGAGCCATTCAATCAAAAAAAAAAAAAAAAAAAAAAGAAAAGAAAAGAAACTCAAGCAAATTGTGGGCTTAAAAAATTGTACCAAAGTTGCCTCTGTCGCATAGGAACCCTCCTCAATCTACATGTACTGTACATAAAGTTTATAAATTGTAAAACACTTGAAGTAAGCATTTACTTCTAAGTCTGAAGGAAGAATTTAAGAAGGAATGCCACACCAATTTATTTTTTTTCATAGATCTTTAAGACATCCCCTTTAAACTATGGTTTCAGCATTGAAAGGCCGATATTAGCTCTCAATTATTTTATATGATTTTCTTCCCAATTTTTCATAGAAAATGAAAAAAAAAAAAGATTTTATTTGGAAATAAGATGTTTTATAGTTAAAAAATTGCTATTAATAGATGCAGAAAATGAATATCTAATAAAATATGTAAACAAAAGCAAGCTGGACATTTTAATTTTTTTCACTAAAAATTATTTAGGAAAATAAAACACAGTATTTGCGAATATTTTCGAAACCTATGGATAATATATTAAAAAAAACAATCCCGATCGAAATTTAAACTGTCCCGACCAGAATTTTGTAATAATTGGAGATAGATAACATTTTCACAAGAATACTAGTTTGTTTAGGTGCAATACGGATAAAAAGGTAAATGAACTTGACAATCAAATAGATTTCTTAGAGGTAGATACATAAAGAGGACGATAATTATCATAATTTTATTTATTTTGTGTTAATTTTGATCGGGATCATGCAGCTTCATTTTGATTGGGATTGATCCAAATACAGCTAATATTAAAATAATTATTTTACCTTAATTTAGCAATTTCATTTCACTTTCTTTTTAAAATAAGATTGACTAACATATTCTCCCTAGTTGTGACTAGTTTTATGAAGATTTTATCCATAGGTACAAAAAATATTTACAAATTTTGTGTTTTATATTCATAAATAATATATATTCAATTTAAAAAATTAGAATGTCTCTCCAACCTCTCTTTACACATTTTATTAGACATTCACATTATGCATTTATTAATAGCAAATTTTAAACCATAAAGCATCTTTGATTTGAACGTATTATCTATCAACTTTACAAATGGGATTGGGCAAAAGTTCTAAAAAATTAATACGCCCTTCCCCTATATATAAATTATACCAAACATATTTACATATATGGGTTTCAGCTTAAAATAAATAATATAAACACAGAAAAGCATAATAATCAGAGGAACAATATTTAATTTAATATATTTCTTAAATAATACACAAGCTGTATAGAATTCGTAAAAAGTAATAATTGTATCAACCAAAACAACTTGACTTTTTAATAAATGATTGTACAATGGAAAATAGGTATTCATTTTCAACATCGTTTAACGTTTCATCTCCCCACAGTAAAGTGTGAGTATCAACTGTATGTAATTTTCCCATTCGCAGAAATGAGTCAAAATTCTTTTCTGGCCTCTGTATATTTTTGCATGAAAAGAAATAATGATGAGTATCCTCCACTCTTCCACAAGAACACAGGGGTCTCAAAATTACATTACATCGAAAAAGATCGCTATTAAGCACACAGTTGTGTCGAAGCCTTGTATGTAATATATTTAAGCGTCGAATCCCGTAACTGAAATAAGAGGGTGGCATAGGTTTATTGTAAGAAATGGACTTTTTAAAGATACACAATGAGGAAGAATTTCTTACAATAAGAGGTAATGAGTTCAATTCGTCAATAACAAGGGGGATGAAAGTTGACTTATATGTTTGCAATCTGCTTTCAGGTATGTTATAGTTATACGAATTATTTAATACGATTTTTGGGTATTTATTCTGAGAAAATGAAAAAAAAATGTATTATTTGCAAAGAAGCTTATTAAAAAAATCAAATTTGTTGTAAATCAGAAAACTCTTTCACTCATGTACACAACCTTTCTTAGACCCCAATTGAAATATGCTTCCTTGGTGTGGGGTGGATGTAATGTAGGCGATAGCGAAAAATTAGCTCTTAACTCTGTTAGCTTCTAAAGATGCACTATACTTTGAAACTGGATGGGAACCATTACTTGAAAGAAGAAAAAATACTAGATTAACTACAATAACCAAGTTCCTGAATATCTAACTGATATAATCCCCAAATTTGCGTTGTAATTCATCAAGTTACAGTACGAGAAATTAAGAGCTAATATCAGTCTTTCAGTGCTGCAACCATAGTTTAAAAGGAATGTCTTAAAGATCTATTAAATAAAATTTTGGTGCTGTATTCCTCCTTAAATTATGAAAAGGACTGGGGAAGGAGGTAGAAAACATGTTAGAAATTCTACAACTGCATGACTTGGAGACCAGCTAAGGCCATCTTTAAAAAAAAATGTTTATTAACCTTCTCCCGACCTACTGGCTTAAATGGCCCGACTCAATTTTTTTTACCTCCAGAAAACAAAATATTTTTTCTTTTCTCACCCGTCCACATGTATGTTGAAATTTTCTGGGGAAAAATTAACGCGTATCATATCTCATTTCTAAAGGTTTTTAACAGGTTTTATTATATAATACTGTGAAAAAGAAGGGGGGGATTTCTATGGGGGTCATTTTTCAACGTGAGAGGAGTCGTAGAATTACCGTAGAATTATGGAAGGGTTTTCTACGGTCGAAAAATGACCCTACTTGTCGTGGAATATTGACCCAGGATCATTTTTCTACGTACAAATTTGACCCCCTGGTCAATATTCTACGGGGGTCACTTTTCGTCATTAATTACACCGGAAAGGGGGATCATTTTCCTGAAAGTTTCAATTTGGAAAAACTCACAGAGACTTTGAAAATGTTTGAACAGCGTTGAGAAAGTCAAAATGTGATGGCAAAAAAGATTTAGAAAGAGGAAATTAAGACACATTCAATGGCGTGAAAAACATAAAATTTCAGCTTGTGATAATCCAAGTTCAAAATAGTCTTTCGTTTTTCATTGTAACGAATAAACTAGATCTTTAAAGTAAAAGAAAATGGAAACTTATGCAAATGTCTCTGTTTTGCAGGGAAAGTTACGCGTTTATTCGCGAAAGTTTCGCGTTATAACGCGAAAATATATTTTTTTTAACCTACGAAAATGAGCTCAATGGGCTTTCGTAGTCTTGAGTAACATTTGTTGGTATATGTATTTATACTAGACATATTACTGAAAGTTAAAATAACAAATAACTTTTGCCTAGTTTAAATATCTAGTCATATCTGTCGGTGTTTCTTTTTACCCTAGGAAAAGTACCTATGTGTGGGAATTTTTATATATGTCTTATGTAAATCATTTTAATGGCTAATGTTAGATCTGTAAAAACATTCGTGGTGGTGGTAGGGGCGTAACCACTAAATTACCAACATATACTATATACAGTAGTTCTTTTTTATATTAATTGTCAAGGAATTATGTTGGGTTGTGCGCCCCCCCCCCCCCCCCCTCTACCCTGAAATTGCTTTTTACATAGAGTAAAGTAAAAGACCTTTATGATTTTTTTAATTAGTATTTCTGATATAAATGCATATACCAACAAATTTAACCCAAGATCCTACTAAAAGCCCCCCAATTTTTCCTGACGTTTATATGGTAAGACTTTAATATCCCCCCCCCCCCCCGTCAAAAAATCTATTGAATTATTTGCCTGCAAGGAAATGTGGGATTTAGATGTATAGTATTTAAGAGAGAATACTCTTTCCTCCTATTTATTTCTTTATTCACTGTTTAAAAATTCCTGAATCCGCCAATTTTCGTTAATTATTATTGTAATCTATCATAGGGTTTATTCAATTAAGCATGCGTATTAAAGATATTAAAGATAATAAAACAGGCAATATCGTCTATGCGCAGTGGCAGTTGACAGTAAGCAGTGAGCAGTTGGCAGTAAGCAGTTGGCTGTCGTATATGGAATTCCATAACATATTGATCTTTTTTTTTTTTTTTTTTTTTTTTTTTTTTAAAGAAAAGGAGTTTTGAAAGATTGTTTGAATTTTGACAAAATAATTAATTTTGCAAGATTTTACAATTGCTGAAAAGTTTTTAGTCTTATTATTAAGTTCCTTTGTCAGGTAGATATCTGCGTACTTATCCAGCTTTATTATGCAGTTGATATATATTTTATAGGCTACTAGGACTATAATATATTTGTATTTTAAGAAATTAATTATATAAACAGCTATTGTAATTTAAGCCTGAGTGTGTGTTTTCTAAAGAAAGAAAATACATAAAATATGGAATGAATAAATAACTCCAACTGGCTTTAACCTGACTTTTAAATTACTTCATTATGCATAACCTGAAAGTCGTGATCCGCCAACGCGAATCAACACTGTAAGGATCGATAACTGCAATGTTGACTGATACCCGGAAGTTACGTAATCGTTGCTGACAGAAAAGATGGAGGATGGGACTAGCTTGAAGACGGGGTTTCTTCTCCGATATGTAAGTTTTGACAATCATAATAAGTTTAGCACGGTTGTATATATCTTATTTTCTGTGATAATATACTACGAAAGAGAAATAGTTTCTTTATTTCCGCATTCAAACAGTATGTAGTAGGCGATGTTGCTGTTGCGGAGATCACAGCTGATTACAGCTTTACGCCATGTACCTCCCTCGGCATTTTGGGGGAAAATATTAGTTAACTAGAATAATACATAATAATTAGCAGGTGAATATTTAATATTCTTATACTATGTGCACTCTAGTGTCTTTCTGCTTCCGGAATTGAAACTGACAGTGTCTTTTGTCCAGTTTTTTTTATTTTGAAATGTCAATTTTTTAGAATGAGTTCGACTCTATTAATTTTACAATGATTACACACATCAGAACGCATTATATTTAGCAGCAAACATAATATCTCATGACCCCAATTTATAAAAAAAGAAACTTTTTGATTAACATACTTCATTAGCAGGAGGTCTATGCCCAAGTGCTTGATCCCAAAAATTGCCCTATATCATGTTCATGAGGTTTACATCTGTATAATTTTTGTGACATGTTGAGATGCACATTATTCATTCGCCTTTTCAATACATACAAGACAATGTATATTTGTATTTCACAAAAAGTTTCCAAACTTGTTGATTGATATGTCTGCATGTTTGCAAAGATTTTGAAATCCTTTACGGAAGCAAAGGTCAAATGAATATAATCATTTAGCAACTGGTCATATTTGCGTGTTTGTATAACTTAAGCTGGCCAGCATAAATGAGTCAAGTGTTTCCTGTTTATGATAATCTTGTACGTGTGCATAGTATTTAGTCCGTATTTGGTATTTAGATATCCTGTCTATTGAAGTGATTACATACCTTTAGCAGTACTCATTACTGTTCTATTTTTTGACAAATATAGTAAACTTGGTTACAGAAATCACGCTTATAAATTCACACTAATAGCATGAATAGTTTAAAAAATATATATTATGAACTTAACAGATATAATAAGTTATGGTTGTTAGTAACAGATTAAAATTGTTTGTCCCAGGCAGTCGCACTTCACTATATATTGTAAGTTGATACCCGTAGTAAGATAAACTCTAAGCTATCTTTCATATAGTTTGATATTAACAAATAGCAGCTATAACCATCTCTCAAGATTTGAAATTCATGGCCCAGATGGCTCAGGAATATTGAGGTCCCCATGATGGGCCTTAGCTGCTAATATTTGAAATTTTATTTTACAGTGTACCCTCTAAATCTTATTTATTCCTGGGCATTTAGCAAGACTTTGTATAGTTTTTGCATGGTGGCAGTTAGCTATTTGCCCTCTTTTGCAAAGAACAAGGTAAAGTTTCAATACAAATCCGGCCCTGTATTTTTCTAAAAAATGGAAGTGATGTAAGAAATCAAAATTCATCCTTTCTGAATCATAGGAGTTCTCTGCAGTAAGAATATACAAATCGTTTTCTCATATGACCTCCTAAATGCTTATTGTGGCATCATAAACTTGAGCATTAATTTTCCCGTATTTTTTTTTAAAAAGTTGCAAAAGACATCAATTTTCAGTGGAATTTTCTTTCTGATCATATAGAGCACATGCATCGCCCACAAAAATTTTGAAAAATGTGATTTTTAAAAGGATTTTAAACAACATATCGAAAATTGAAGTGGGCAACGGCTGTGGACACTGTTTTCTTAAGGGAAATAACCCCTGAAATGAGTAATTTTGAGGCTTTTCTGTTAAAAACTTAGAAATGTCCCAAATTAATGATGTCATATTTCCAGAATGGTCCTCCTTCATGCCATAGTCTTTCATGATTTATATATTATTTATATATTTGTATATATTATGATTCATATACTCAACTCATATTTAAGCCAATTTCATAACTTTTTGAAAACATTTATTTTTAAGGGCACAATAAAGCCCAAACTGTGCCTTATTCTTTGTATATATAAGATTATGCTCAGGCTGGAGGATAGGTCTAAGTTGATCATATATATATATATTTAAAGTCATCATGATCTTATATGGAGTATTTTTTGATAAGTTCAGATAACCAAAATGAAAAAAAAGATCTTTCTATTTGTTGTATTACTTTATATAAAGATAGGACTTTCCTGTAAATTAACAATTTAAATCAAAGATAATAAAAGTTTAAAACAATAACTGATTTATTTAACATGTTTAATGACTCCACATTTAAATAAGACAAAGTTTAAAGTCAATTTAATAATTATAGAAACGTAAGGTTAATCAGTTCCAAATCAGTGAAGTTTTTAATTGGAACGTAAATAACATACCTGTATATCATGTGTATATCTAAACTTATTCTTGTATTATTATTTTTTTAACTCAGATACGCCATATATAGCTTTAAAATGTGCTTCATCTTAAACATTTTAAAAACACGTTTTACTCCTATATCTAGCTAGGAAAAACTTCACACACAAAATATGATAGTAAAAAACAGTGTCCTGACCGAATTGTAAAATTCAATGATAGTCAGTTAGCTCAGTTGGTGGAGGACCTCACAAAAGTAAATCGGAGGGCCCAGGTTCAAATCCTGGTCTGATCCATCACATTTTTCTCCTGGCAGTTACAAATACACCTCTGGGTCGAACTTGGCACCTTCACTTGCCTAGCATTTAAAACAATGGATTTTGAGTGGGTCGATATATTCGTAGTTCTCCATTCCTTGAACATGTTGAAAGCAATCGGACTTGTTCCCTTTGGGGCATCAGCTCAATTACTTTTAAGAAATGGAGCACTACTCATACATTAACCTTACACAGTAAATTTTTTATATCACATACTGTCAATATGGGATCGATATGAAAAATTTATCCGACTGATATCCACTGGATGAAGAGGTAAACATACCGTATAAGCAGAAATTTTAGCAAGGATTCAATTTTGGCAATTTTAGCGAGGGTGTTGAGATCGCTAAAATTGAATATCATTAACAATTCCTTCTGCATAGGAGGTAACCATTATATTTCTAGGTATCATAAAATTGCTAAAATTACTTCTCGCTAAAATTATTTACCATTTTTTTCAGGACAGATTGCTAAATTTGCGTCTCGCGAAAAATTCCACTAAATATATGAAATTGACGGTATAATAAATACATGTGTACATGCATTCAAATTTCAATGTTTCCTACAGGAACCAAGCAAAAGATGGAAGTTAAGGTGGTTTGCCCTGCTGGAGGAACAGTTAGTGTGTACACACAAATTGCATCATTCAATGGTGGTGGACATCATTCCCCTTGAGGGAGCCTCAGTTGTTTGTCCAATAACTGACCCCCAGCTGAATACACCAGTGAGTACAAATTTAGGCCCCCATAATTTAATCTTTTGATTATATGATTGACCGTTCAACTGTTCACTTTAATCAGTAGATTTTAAAGTAATGATCCTTCATGAATCTTTTTTTGAAAGAATACCGGTAATTTGCACTCGTTCTGTGTAAGTAAGTTTTATTTTGCTATTGTTACTTTTGATATGTCAGCCATCATGGTCATGCTTCGACCTTTTCATTCTCAAAGGGACATGGACACACTAGCTTGAATTGCTGTTTTGTTTACATGCAGTTTTAAATTTCTGTTTTTATTTGAATAGCTTCAGTTTATTGATTTGAACTTGCATGAAAAATCTTAAAACTCAATGACAAACGCCATTCTACATATCCTTACATCAAACACCTGTGTTTGAAAACATTGCCACAAGCTCTGTTATTGTTATTGTTTATGTTTTACCAGTACGTTCCATTTGCTGACATTGCTTACATTGCTACGGACCACAAACTGACGTACAACACTGATGTGTTGGTTTTGCTTTCTTATATTTCTTCCTTCAATTGACTTTTCTTGATGATATATATAGCTTTAAAATCTTTTATTAATAATACGTTTCAGATTTCCCACTCTTCTGGAATATTAAGGAAAAATTTTAGTTCGTGAATAGTGCAAGGATTTATGACAATCAAAATTGTACACCCCATAACTTTGTAGCTTTGATAATTTTCAGATAAAAAAAGTTTGTAAATGGACTTTCATTATATATTGGGTCTAAAACATTCTTGCAATATGTAAGTCAAGAAATTCTACCAATTGAAAGATTTTGAAGGTTAAACTTCAAATTTATGTCCATACCCTTTTAAGTAAAATGAATTTCATAAGTGATTAAACTTTTTTTTTGTCGTACACTGTAGTGAAGAAAACAGAATTAAAACGTGAAAAAAATGAATCAAACTATACTTGCATGATGATTTAATTAGGGCTGGGACGATATATCGAGATACCAATAATATCGATTCTGTGCAAGGATGATACGCATATCGATACATATGAAGAAATTCTTATACGTTTTTCTTTCTTTTCTTAACATTTTGGGTTTTATATAATAAAATGAATATGCTAAATATCAATATAAATATGAAATACACAAAAATTAACACCACTTGTGTAAAATAATTTTGTTTTACAACAGATGTACAATTTCTTTGAATAAATTATTCTTATTTGTGAAGAAATATTTTGTTTATTTCAATACAAAAAAGTGATTTTATAACCATTTAAACATATGGTGATATATATCTTATCGTGGCTCAGATATCGTGATACATATCGATATAGAGAAAATTGTATCGTCCCAGCCCTAGATTTAATTTTGGGCAAATTAATGTTTGATAACACATGCACATGATGTATGAAACTAACTTTCTGAAATATAGCAACTTTTATATTTAAAAGAAAAAGAGAAAAATAATTTTAATCACTTTTTTATTAATTTTAATTTCTTGACTTTATTACTTGAGACAATGGCATGAGAAATAATTTACATATCACCCATATTAAGTATGACTAATTGAAATATTTGCCATTGTGTTCTTTGCCTGTCCAAACAACTTCACAAAAATAAATAAATAAATTAAGTAATAAGTGAAAAAAAACATTAACTTAGTAATACATATGATTGATAAATTTCTTTTATAAATGAAATGTTTTTGCAGGATGTAATATTTGGTTGCATATATATTTTGCGCAGTTAATATTTAGGTTTTTAAGAAACATATACCGAGTACAGTTGAACTTTGGAATCTCAAACACAGATATCTCGAATACCATGGATATGTTGAAGTAATTTTGAGGTCCCAACTACTTATTCCTTACCCTGGAATATCTCAAATCCTTGGTTATCTTGAAGTATTTTCTTGGTCCCTTCAAGTTCAAGACCAGGTTTGACTGTACTTCATTTTGATTTCTTTTTTTTATAAACAGGGTACCTTTAAGATTACTACACCAGGGGGAGACGAACTATTTTTTCAAGCAGCAGGGAAGCATGACAGGGATATGTGGGCTCATGCTGTTGGAGCAGTGATACGGGCACTTAGTGGGTCTAAACAGGTTAGTACAGTCAAATGGGTAGGGACAGTCAAACTCGAGTATGTGCAGTCAAACTTGGTTAAAAGGAAGTCACTCTTGGACTTGGAATTTTGCTTCCTTATACATGTAAATATAATTCTTCATATCCATAAATGGAACTTAATTACATGTATTTTAAAGTTTTTTTGAGGGATTTGAAAATAAAATTCCTTGTAGACAAAATTTCCTTATAAGTGAGTTTTTATTACTGAGTTGTACTATATAATCATAAGGAAATATGCAAGTGAAATCAGTGAATTTAACTTAGGTAATAAAAAGATCATTTTACCTGTATGATAATGCATGTGTGAAATGACTGGAAGTTCAGGTTCATTATGTGAAAAACAAGAAAAGGAAAATAAAAAAAAAGACCAAGATATAAAAACCTTATGTCTTAATTGCTGGTCATTTTATGAAATAAAAATAATATACAAATTACTGTGAAACACTAGTTTTGATGTGATAAGTTTCATTGTTTTTTTTTTGTTTGTTTGTTTGTTTGTTTTTTTTTTTGTTATGAAGAGACCCACAAATTCCCCCACTAAATATAAAATTTAAAATATATATAACTCCTCAGCACTTCTTCAACTTGGAAATCAAATCCCCACACAGCAATATTTTTCCTCCAAACCTCAAAAAATTTTTAACCTAAAAGAACATTTTCACTGGATAAATGTACATTAAAACGAGCTAAGATATTGCATAACCCTCATCACTTTCATATTGAAAATATTTCACTCATATGGGAATGGTACATCACTGCAAAAGGAATGCATCTTTTAAAGATCCTAAGGTCATTCAGCACTTTTTTATCAATAATCTTCTTCTTTTGATCATGAGTATTCCTGACCTTTGAGCAAGTGACCTAAATTTTGTTCTAGTTTATGATTTGTATTTGTACATTTCATCAATATACACAAAGATATATATAATCATCATATTAAGTTTTATATAGCAGTAGGTCATGAAGTATTTTACAATTCAGTTTTGTTTTCTTATTAAGATTTTTATCTTCTTTTTAGGTCACCTGAGTCACTCAGGTGACCTATTGCTATCTGTTTTCGTCCGTCGTCGTGCGTCGTCCGTCGTGTGTTAACATTTGAACATTTTCAGCTTCTTCTCTGAAACCGCTGAACCAATTTCAGCCAATTTTAGCATATGGCATGTATGTGTGAAGGGGAACAAAATTTGTGAATATCATGGTCCCTGCCCCCCTGGGGCCTGAGGGGTGGGGCTAAAACCACCAAAATTAATGCAATCTTTAAAAATCTTCTTCTTTACTCCTGGACATCAAGCAGTCAAACTGTTGGCCTGATTGTAATAAGCATTGAGTCCTCTACCAAAATTGTGAAATTCATGGCCCCAGGGTCAGGGGTTCTGGTGCTAGGGCGGGGCTATATAGATCATATAGTGAAAGTGCATTATTTCTTTGAAAATCTTCTTCTCTACTCCTGGGTATTATTGAAACAAATTAAATACATAGTTATGTTAAGCAAGAGTGACTCTACCAAAATTGTGAAATTCATAGCCCCAGGGTCAGGGGTTCTGGTGCTGGGGGAGGGGGAGGGGCACTATATAGATCATATAGTGAAAGTGCATTATTTCTTTGAAAATCTTCTCTACTCCTGGGTATTATTGGAACAAATTGAATACATAGTTATGATAAGTAAGGGTGACTCTACCGAAATTGTGAAATTCATGGCCCCAGGGTCAGGGGTTCTGTTGTTAGGGTGGGGTTATATAGATCATATAGTGAAAGTGCATTATTTCTTTGAAAATCTTCTTCTCTACTCCTGGGTATTATAGAAACAAATTAAATACATAGTTATGATAAGCAAGAGTGACTCTACCAAAATTGTGAAATTCATAGCCCCAGGGTCAGGGGTTCTGTTGCTAGGTGGGGAGGGGGGGGGCTATATAGATCATATAGTGAAAGTGCATTATTTCTTTGAAAATCTTCTTCTCTACTCCTGGGTATTATTTAAACAAATTAAATACATAATTATGTTAAGCAAGGGTGACTCTACCGAAATTGTGAAATTCATGGCCCCAGGGTAAGGGGTTCTGGTGCTGAGGGGGGGGGGGGGGGGGGCTATATAGATCATATAGTGAAAGTGCATTATTTCTTTGAAAATCTTCTTCTCTACTCCTGGGTATTATTGAATACATAGTTATGATAAGTAAGAGTGACTCTACCAAAATTGTGAAATTCATGGCCCCAGGGTCAGGGGTGCTGGTGCTAGGGTGGGGCTATACAGATCATATAGTGAAAGTGCATTATTTCTTTGAAAATCTTCTTCTCTACTCCTGGGTATTATTTAAACAAATTAAATACATAATTATGTTAAGCAAGGGTGACTCTACCGAAATTGTGAAATTCATGGCCCCAGGGTAAGGGGTTCTGGTGCTGAGGGGGGGGGGGGGGGCTATATAGATCATATAGTGAAAGTGCATTATTTCTTTGAAAATCTTCTTCTCTACTCCTGGGTATTATTGAATACATAGTTATGATAAGTAAGAGTGACTCTACCAAAATTGTGAAATTCATGGCCCCAGGGTCAGGGGTGCTGGTGCTAGGGTGGGGCTATACAGATCATATAGTGAAAGTGCATTATTTCTTTGAAAATCTTCTTCTCTACTCCTGGGTATTATTGAAACAAATTGAATACATAGTTATGATAAGCAAGGGTGACTCTACCAAAATTGTGAAATTCATAGCCCCAGGGTCAGGGGTTCTGGTGCTAGGGTGGGGCTATACAGATCATATAGTGAAAGTGCATTATTTCTTTGAAAATCTTCTTCTCTACTCCTGGGTATTATAGAAACAAATTAAATACATAGTTATGATAAGCAAGAGTGACTCTACCGAAATTGTGAAATTCATGGCATCAGGGTCAGGGGTTCTGTTGCTAGGTGGGGAGGGGGGGGGGGCTATATAGATCATATAGTGAAAGTGCATTATTTCTTTGAAAATCTTCTTCTCTACTCCTGGGTATTATTTAAACAAATTAAATACATAATTATGTTAAGCAAGAGTGACTCTACCGAAATTGTGAAATTCATGGCCCCAGGGTAAGGGGTTCTGGTGCTGAGGGGGGGGGGGGCTATATAGATCATATAGTGAAAGTGCATTATTTCTTTGAAAATCTTCTTCTCTACTCCTGGGTATTATTGAATACATAGTTATGATAAGTAAGAGTGACTCTACCAAAATTGTGAAATTCATGGCCCCAGGGTCAGGGGTGCTGGTGCTAGGGTGGGGCTATACAGATCATATAGTGAAAGTGCATTATTTCTTTGAAAATCTTCTTCTCTACTCCTGGGTATTATTGAAACAAATTGAATACATAGTTATGATAAGCAAGGGTGACTCTACCAAAATTGTGAAATTCATAGCCCCAGGGTCAGGGGTTCTGGTGCTAGGGTGGGGCTATACAGATCATATAGTGAAAGTGCATTATTTCTTTGAAAATCGTCTTCTCTACTCCTGGGTATTTTTGAAACAAATTAAATACATAGTTTTGATAAGCAAGAGTGACTCTACCAAAATTGTGAAATTCATGCATCAGGGTCAGGGGTTCTGTTGCTAGGGCGGGGCTATATAGATCATATAGTGAATGTGCATTATTTCTTTGAAAATCTTCTTCTCTACTCCTGGGTATTATTGAAACAAATCAAATACATAGTTATGATAAGCGAGGGTGACTCTACCAAAATTGTGAAATTCATGACCCCTGGAGGGTTAGGGGTTCTGGTGCTGGGGGAGGGGGAGGGGCACTATATAGATCATATAGTGAAAGTGCATTATTTCTTTGAAAATCTTCTCTACTCCTGGGTATTATTGGAACAAATTGAATACATAGTTATGATAAGTAAGGGTGACTCTACCGAAATTGTGAAATTCATGGCCCCAGGGTCAGGGGTTCTGTTGTTAGGGTGGGGTTATATAGATCATATAGTGAAAGTGCATTATTTCTTTGAAAATCTTCTTCTCTACTCCTGGGTATTATAGAAATATGGGTATTATTGTGAAATTCATGGCCCCAGGGACAGGGGTTCTGGTTCTAGGGTGGGGCTATTATAGATCCTATAGTGAAGGTGAATTTTTTCTTAGAAAATCTTCTTCTCTGCCCCTGGGTACTATTTAAACAAACTAAATACATTGTTATGATACACAAGGATGCCTCTTCCAAAATTGTGAATTTCATGGCCCCAGGGTCAAGGGTTCTAGTGAAAAGGTTGGGGGGGGGGCTCTATTGATTATATAGTGAAAAAGCAAAATTTCTTTGAAAATATTCTTTTCTGCTTTTGGTTAAAAAGCAAAGAAGCTAGTAAGTATATAGTTATGATGAGCAAGAGTGCTTCTTCCAGAGTAGTGAATTGCATGACCCGGGTCAGATGTGCTGGTGTAAGGGTGGGGCTCTTGATAATATAGTGAAAATGCATTAATTCTATTAAATAATCCTGTCTGCTCCTTAGTGTTAAGCAGATAAACAAAGTGATTACTTATGATGAGCAAACTTCTGGTCCCAGGGTGAGAGACTCTAGTGTTTCTTGGGGGGGGGGGGGGCTCTATTGATAATATTGTGAATCTGAAGTAAAAATGCATTATTTCTTTAAAAATTTTCTCTGCACTTGGGCATATCAGAGGCAAAAAGATTAAAAGTTATAATAAGGAAGGGTATTTTTACCAGATTTTGAACATTTTGTTCAAGTGTTCTAGTCCTGGCCAGGGCTCTATTAATTTGTATTCTACTGAGAGGAGTTATTTCCCTTTGCCATTTACTTCTGATAATTAATCACTGTAAACAATGTACTTGAAAGGTTAATAGAATAAGAGAATTAAGCAAGAATTTTTATTGTATAATACAAAAGTATTTTCATAGTTTTAATGATCAGATAGACTTGTAAGTAATAGATAAATAAAAATGGAACAAAAATAACTTGTCTTATTAAATGTTCATCAAAGACCAAGAGAGGCCAATCAATGTAAGAGATTTGAACAAGAAATTAAAATAGTACAGAAGCACTGATAGGTTTTTAACACACTGTATAGTGATAGTGATAAATGGGGAACAGATTAGAACATAATTCATAAACTATCAGTGAATACTAGATTAATTATTTTGTTGATCCTGATCACCCTATTTTTCTTGCTTTTGGGCAACAAAGCTTCACCTTTCAGTTCATTTTATACTCTATGGATCCTCTAAATTGTTGTATTATACTCAGGTGACCGTTAAGGCCCTTGGGCCTCTTGTTTTTTTTTTTTGCAGGACTCCCAGCAGCCTATTCCATTTACTGCATTTAGGGCTACAGCAAATGTCAGGTTTGTCTTAAACAGAATTCTGAAGAATTCGAGCTACATGGTTGCCAGTTGTCAGATTTATTTTAAGCATCATTAGTGTATTATACAGGGGTTGAAATATACGGTAGCCCGATGCCTGGGGCTAGTCATTTTAAGACTCGGGCTAGCTTGTTTAAATGTAACGATAGTCTGTCAGACTAGCAGAATGGAAAAAAAAATTCTTGTCATTTTAACTTTCGCTTTTGTATGTAGGCTAGTTTCTTTTGAAGTTTAGCTAGTTTAATTTGTTTCTGTCACCAAAGCGTTTGAAACTTTAACTTGTTATGTTTTCATTTTGCATGAAAAATTGTTTGGCTAGTTAGTTTGAGGTTAGGGCTATTATTTTTTTACTGATCAGTAGCCCCTAGCTGGGCTAGTGGGTTTTCCAGGAAAATTTCAACCTCTGATATAATTATAGAATTAAGTTTGATTAACCATGGAATATTAAATACCTATCTTTTATAACACAGTGAAATCCTGGGAGCCATGCAAGACCCTGATGCTGGAGTTAACCTTGGGAGTCATGTCCGTAATGGTGCTGTGCATAAAAACTGTTTTACAGGTAATGAATTGACATCAAATCTTACTCTAATCATTGATGAGTATATATTATGAATGTTTTCATTTTTATCTGATATATATTTAGCATGGCAGGCATAAGAAATCTTTTTCATTTTCTGTTTCAAAAGGAGGGTAGGGAAGGGGGGGGTGTCAAAGGGCACACTTATTAAATGATAATTAACTTTAAATGATAAATCAACTTTACAAAATCACTTGAGAGTTTCTATTTCCATCCCCATTTGATCTGCCAATTAATTAATAAGAGGAAATTCACCATCTTAATTAGCTGTTACCAATGTTGTTTTTCCTGCACTTAACAAAAAAGGAAATGAAATGGTAGATATTTTCAGAAACAAATAGCATACACCTTGTATCTATGGAGCATAAATTTTAAATTTTGCATCTCAAGTACACATTAATGAGCCCGCAAAAAAGAAAAAAAATACATATACACACAATTAGCAATCATTTAATATATTCTCCTGAAAAGTATCAGCTAGTTAAAATTTTACTTCCCTACTTGAGAACATCTGATTGCTTGATTCCTACTTCATTTGTTCTGCTGATGTTAACACCTTTAATATCTTCATTATCAGGCAGTGCTGTGGTAGACTGGCTTGTAAGATGGTCAATTATAAGGAAAAGGGAGGACGGGTCGGCCATGATACAAACACTGCTAAAATTAGGTCATGTACAGGAGGTGGACATCAATGATGGAGCATTGGGAGCCTCTAAAAAATTCAGTGATGGAGACAAACTGTATCGCTTTGTAGGTTTTTTTTTCAACTCACCTGAGCTGAAAGCTCAAGTGAGCTTTTCTGATCGTATTTTGTCTGTCCATCAGTTCTGTAAACTTTTCATGCTTTCAACTACTTATCCAGAACCACTGGGCCAATTTCAACCAAACTTGCCACAAAGCATCCTTGGGTCAATTTCAACCAAACTTGCCACAAAGCATCCTTGGGTAAAGGGGATTCAAGTTTCTTCAAATAAAGGGCTACACTGTCTTTCAAGGAGAGATACTAGTTAAAAATTAGGGATAATTTTATGGCATCATTTAAAAATCTCCTTCTCAAGAATCACTGCTCCAGAAAAGTTGAAACTTATGTGAAACCTTCATTACATACTGTAGATTTAATTTTTTACAAATCATGACCCCGGTGGGTAGGATGGGGCCACAATGGGGAATCAAAGTTTTACCTAGGAATATACATGTATAGGAAAAAATCTTTAAAAATCTTCTTCTCAAGAATAGCAAGCCATGATAAGTCATATTGATATGGAAGCATCCTCAGTGAGGGAGATTCAAGTTTGTTCAAATCATGACACCTGGGTGTCTGGTGGTGCCACAGCAGGGAATCGAAGTTTTACTTAGGAGTATGTAGGAGTAAAAACTCTGATGTTGAAGAAAGTATTGACTCGGGTAAGAGTTATGGCCCTTGGGCCTCTTGTTTGAAAAAATAATTGTGACTCAGGTAAGTGTTAAGGCCTTTGGGCCTCTTGTTTAAAAAAATAATTATATGTACATGTAGTTGCAGCTCTAGTCAATTTATTTAAATTGAATCATTTTGAAATTTTTAATTGTGTTTTGAAAAATTTATTCATAGCAACATGAAATGGATTAAGCAGTAGGCATTAATGCCTATAATCATTTTTGATTGCCATTTTGTATTGAAATATGGTTTTTAAAAGATACAAGCAATTCAATTCTATGTTATATTCTTTCGTGAAAGAGAAAATCAAGTATGAAAGAGTATGGTATGAGAATCAAAGTCAATACCAAAGTCAATGTTTTAATACTCCAGGTGAATTATTTAATGCAGTGTATTTAAAAGCTTAATGTTTATGTATCATGTACATGCATTTTTATGATGCAGTCCTCCTTAAACCTTGGTGCCAAGAGGAACAGTTACTATGACAGCACAGACAGTGACACTAGCTCCTCCGAGGATGAAGAAGATGAAACTCAGGAAAACAAGCTTCGAAAAGGCAAAGTCCTCAAAGCATCCTTCTTGTCAAAAAAGGTAAACTTTACAAAGGCAAAGTCCTCAAAGCATCCTTCTTGTCAAAAAAGGTAAACTTTACAAAGGCAAAGCCCTCAAAGCATCCTTCTTGTCAAAAAAGGTAAACTTTACAAAGGCAAAGCCCTCAAAGCATCCTTCTTGTCAAAAAAGGTAAACCTTACAAAGGCAAAGCCCTCAAAGCATCCTTCTTGTCTAAAAAAAAAGTAGGTTTTACAAGGCAAATTCTTCAAAGCAAAAATGGCTTGGAACTCTTGGAATTACATGTATCTACAAGGATAGTTTTGTGAAGCATATTTGAATCTCCTCCCAAATCTTTGATGTTTTCAAATATTGATAAACAGCAAGAATAAAATGCATTGTCTTAAAAACAAATATCTATATGATGTGCAAGGATGAAAGGTAATATTACATGTATTTCAAAAAGTTTAAAACATGCTTCATCAGGATTTGATTTCGAAGTCTTAACTTTAGTTGAGTTAGAATGTTAAAAATTACTTAATAAGTTGATACACAGTCATATGTTTAAGATTTTTTAATTTTTTTCATAGAAAAGTATTAGAAAAGATTGGCGAATTGTTAGAGTAACATTGAGAGAAAACCCACCCTCCATAGAATATTCAAGGGTTTTGGTAAGTCATAGATTAAAAAAAGATATCAGATACCTTATAATTAAATGTATGTATTAATTTGCATACATAATTATGCTGATTATTACCCAGTATGTATACATGTATTAATGTCTAGTTGAAAAAAAATAATAATATACAATTGAACTTTATCTTGAACACCAATATCTCAAATACCATGGATATGTCAAAGTTATTTGGAAGTCCCAACCACTTATGAGGGGTGATCAAAAAGTTTCTTCCTTAAAAGAAATGAAATGAGGTTTCAGTGTTTATTATTTTTTAAAGTAGTCCTCTCCGATTTTAATGCACATCTGTCATTGTTCTGCCCATGCGCGAATCACGTGATCAAAGGCGGTCATGTGACATGTTCCGTAGCGGTCTGGTCACAGAAGCTAAAAAATTTTCTGAATTTTATATTTCTTACCATGCAAGTTATTTTTTATAACAAGAACAGTCCATCTGTCAGAAATTGTCAAATCTCGGCAATAGGATAGGTAAATAAGGATATCCCTTCCCAGAATTGACTTGGTGACCATAACAACCCAAGTCCTCTGTCTTGGAAGCGTCGTTTATCCAATGTGGATAAAGTATGGACGTCTTCTCTTTATCATATCTTTTATGTTTAAAGTGTAAAGTAAACAATATTTTAGGGATTTAATAATTATATTATTGTTAAGATATTCAACTATTTTTCTAATCGTAACTTGGTGATATTTCATTACAAATTGCTCAACTACGGACACATCTTTTCCCTGGCTTGCTTTCGCTGGGCAACAGAACAAACATTATATTTAACCATCTCCCTGCCTTCACTAAAATAATCAATCTAATTAATGATTGAACTTCTGGTAAGTCTATTGTCTTCATAAACCTTGTACAAATTATCATATTCTACTGCAAAGGAATTTCCAAGATATAATGTTAAACTTTACAGCCGCTCGTTTCTTGAGTAGGACTGAGTCAACCATTTTTTGTCACAAGTCACCTATATATTGACGTCATTTTCACTTTGTGACGTCACAAACACGGAGCAAAACAATTTTTATCATCTGTTATTTATAGAACGTGTATGACTGTATGTGTGCCAAATTTCATTCTGATCTGAATTGTGGTTTTGTAAATATTGAGATAGTTGGCGAACTTTTTGATCACCCTTCGTATTCTTGAAATATTTTACCCTCAATATCTTGAATCTCAGATATATGGAAGTTTTTTTTTCTCAGTCCCATCAAGTTCAAGATAACGAGGTTAAACTATATCTCACTTTTTGATCTCTAAGAATTGATGAGAAAAAGCCCCCAGAAAAGTATGTTGCTACAATGTATGTGAGATAAAGGTTAAATCTTAAGTCTGGAATTGATTTACATGCACTGTTCATTACATCTTTTGCAGCATGATCACACAAAAAGAGGGAAAATTATTGATGTGGAAGATGTAAATACAGAAGAAGCTAAGAATGATTGCCTAGGTGAGAATAAAATTATACCATACGCTGCTGGGCTCCTCATGGATTCTAATGGCTTTACAAATCAAATGGTGGGGGTAAATGCAGCATCAGTATTACTTGAATTAATGGGATAATTTATCCTCCACAAATAATTTCCTGATGAGAAGTGACTGAAGTTTGGATAAATGAGACATGGTAGTGTATTATTATGCCACCTTCTAAGAAGGGAGGGCATATTGCTTTGATGCTGTCTGTCGGTCAGTTGCAAATACTGAAATGAAATTTGGTATACAGATTTACATGTATCATAAGAATATCTAGGTAAAGTTCTGCTTTGGGTACAATCGAGCAATTTTTGACGGAGTTATGCCCCTTGGACTTAGAAAAAATTCTATTTATTTGGGGGGGGGGGGGGCATAAGTGTTTCACAAATATCTCTTGTTGTAGTATAAGGTGTTGTGGTACAGTGTTTTGCTCTGTAGTAATTTTTTTGTTTAAAAAAAATATTAGAGCTGCTGCACCTGGGATATTTATTGTATAAATAAATGTTATCAGACCTCTAGATTTTCTAGTAAAAAAAAACTTTCAAATTAATGATCAGGAATGTTAAAGGCTTAACAATTTTACATAATATAAACTATTTCAAGGTTATTTAATAGACCCATTTATCTTTATGATTGTTTCTTATGTGTCTTGAATGAGAGTAAAATAATATTATTCCATTTGAACTTTCAAGATAAAGGCAGCATAAATAAATTTCCAAAGTGCCAAATACCGAGATAGATTGCAAATTATTATTGATACGTTTTAGTGAGACAGTCTGATTGGTAGGCTTTAAGATTAAAGATTTTTGTGTCTATTTGAAGTTTTATACTCAATCTGCTAAGAGATGATATAATATTTTTGTTTACAGCTTGTGGTCAGGATGCTGCAGAAACAGCTAGGCTCAAAAAGAGAATTGTTCTGAGGGACAGGAAGGGGAAATGTTACATCTTCAAAACCAAGGATGAACAGGAAAAACTGGAGTGGCTTCCCCTTTTGCAGAGCCTCAGCAGAAGAGCCTCGGTTGCTCAGTAACAGATGTGGAAAATGTCAAAAATTACGAACAAAATGAGTCTCATAACCAGAGAAAGTTCGAGATTTATTAATGCTCAGAAGTTTTATTGGTGCATTTCTTTTTTAGTTTTAGGTAGAGCAAAGGGTGGTGTCAGGCTTTTCAAAGTTTTGCTCTCTTTGTTTTGATAATTATCAACCTTAGTATTTAAAAATCTTTCTTTTGTCCTTTGAAAATTAGACATATCATTATGAAGCTATACTTCTTTTTAAAATCAATATACAAAAAATGTGTATTGCTAAAAGAACATTATTTATGTTTTCTCTCATTTTTTTTATTTTTTATATTTTTTTTTTTGTCAGAAATTTATAATATTCTGAAGGTCCAATTATTTTTATGAACAGATTAGGCGTGGGGACTTTTGAATAGAGTACAGTTTTTAAAACTAAAATCTTCAATCGGAATTAATTATTTACCTTAGACTATAATCAGGATACTTTGTATAAAAATGACTTTTTTTTTAAAAAAAAAAAAACATGGTTTATATACAGGCTTTTTTAAAATTAATATCAGATTTTTATATACTAGAAAATATCATTGCATATGATGTTCATTAAAACTTTTTGAATTTTATCTTCATTAAATGCCAAGTTTAATCAAGTTCATGACCAGAGTTATTAAGCAGATTTTTTTTTTTTACATGTCATTCTAAAAGTTTTTCTTTTTTGGTCTCACTTGAGCCAAAGACTTAAGTGTGCTATTTCTTCTGAAATTTATGTGCCACCCATTCTTCTGTAAACTTTACTTCTCAGCACATTTTAGGTCAATTTAACCAAGCTTTACTAACATAATCATACATGCATATTTGGATTAAAAGAATTTAGATTTATCTCCTTTTTGCTTTCTAGGTTTAAAAAATATTAGAGCTGTTGGTATCTTTTGTATAGAATGTATTTTACAGTGTAGTAAAGTCTCTTAAGTGCTACTTAAATCCATAGAATATTTGAAAACTGATAATGTTTTTAGGCTTTTGTTTGAGTAAACCAATCATGTCTTCACCAATACATCTCACGAAACAAATTAAGGAATAACTGTCTAAGTTTTTGGTTTCATGATGTGATCAATCGATTGGCTTGCTTGATAATTTGCATAAATGCCGAAGGCGTTTAAGCATTAAATTATCACGCAAGCCTATCGATTGATCATCGTCATGAAACCAAAAAATCTGACAGTTATTCCTTATATTTACTTGTTCTTGATCCTGCAAATTCACGTGCTACAAGCCCCTCTTCTGTCTCTATTTGTCCCGCCCATGATTTTTTTTTCACCACGCCTATCGATGAACCAGCAGATTTATGTAGAAATAAAGTATTTTTAATATTTGAAATTTTATCTCGGACAAAGACATTGGAAATGTAAATATTAAGCAAATACATGTACAAAAAATGAATTTATTTGTCGGTAGTCCAAAGTTTTCACTAATTTCTCAATGCTTTTTTTGCTATTCTTGTTTTGTTGTGATTTTTCTCTACAATATGGGCATTAGGAAGTTTTAGAATAAATGCATATGTGTATTAACCAAAGTAAAGATTTCTACCCATTGATCAGATAAAAGGTAATTGTAACAATATTCTTAAAACCAACCATGTACAAATAAATACAAAATGATAATGTCAATTTAATATTATATGCAATGTATGTGATAAACTGATGAAAAAGACATTTAAAAAAGAAAAATAAAAGGTAGATAAACAGAAAAAAACACACATTATCTACATGTACATGATAAAATATGATTATATAAAACCTAGTTTATGTGTGATATACATTGTATTCCTGGAAGTCTTTCAGTATGTCTTTCATTTCAATTTAAACAGTACTTAAAATAAACGTATGTCTATATTATCAAGTAATGAATATCCAGTACATGTATGTGTTAATGCATCATACATATAAACCTGAAAATGTGAATGTATTTATAGGATTAAATTTCACCTCTCATTTCTACTTACACTGCTTAGCATCACATCAATATTTATAGGAACTAACACGTATACTTGTTAGCCAATATTTGTTTACATGGATAATGATTTTTTTTTTTTAATTTTGTTATATGTCCCCCCAAGAGATTGTTTGTAAATGTGTATGTACAGCATTTTACTGAGTTGTAATGGTTACTTTTTGCAAATCTTTCCATCATCTCTCCAGTGAGGTTTCTCATTGTTAGGCATTTTAAAATTGATTAGAAAATTATGCTTACTTTATTATTTAAAATAATGAGAGAATTGAACTGAGTGTATTTGATTAGAATTTAAAATGCATTAAAAAACACAATTTCATGATATTTTTTGTAGACATTCTTTTTTCTATGTGGGATTATTTTATGCATTTTAGACTTATAATGGCAAATGAAGAAATTTGCATAATTTTTTTACTCGTGGATAGAACAGAAATTGTGATTCCGCAGAATTATGACCCAGTGGGAAAAAAAGTACGTTTACAGTATTTTATTGTTAATTTCCCAAGTTTCAATTTAAACCAGTACGGTAAAATCACTACTACATGTATAATGTATCACTGTAAACATTTAATCTCTAATATGTCAAAGTATTTCTTCTTTTTCTGCTTTATTATTATTTTTTTTTCACTTTTTCTTTTTTTGATCTTAAACAAATAAAGAAATCCTGTCACAGTAAGCAGTATTGATATCATTGAGTTATCCATTTTCTCTTTATTTGTTATTTGTGACTTATATTTATTTTTATATTCTATGCAGATTTAATGCATTTTCTCATTATGTAAATAGATGGTGCAGATTTCAGATGCTTATTATTTTCTGTATCTGATTTCACTGTAGAAACTGGAAATTATAGCAACTTTGTGTGTATTGCTTTATTTTTTTTATTGTATATAATTTTATATGTATACTTTTGTTCACTAGTTATGCACCAACATTCCCATGTACATTTACATTTTATTTTCTTTTGAAACACAAGTGTTCTGTACTGTGCAATATCAGAATTCATGAAATGAAGGTGCTCTTTCGATTTTTTTCCTTTAGTTTTGGAATAACACAGCCAAAATTTAATAGGCCAGAAAGTGTAGTTTTGTGAAGTTTGATTGAATAATTACATAAAAAAAATACATGAACAGTGTGTACTAATTTTCATCATTTACATTATTGTACATTGTACAATTGTTGCCTCATTTATCCAGATGCTTGTGTTCATGAGCAAGTTGTCCAGAATCCAGATTACTGAAACATACTTGGTTTTATACAGTTGAACTTCGGTTATCTCGAATCTCATGGACATGTGGAAGTGATCTGGAAGTCCCAACCACTTATTCTATAAATCTTGAATCCTCAGATATCTCGAAGTTTATTCTTGGCCCCATCGAGTTTGAGATAATGAGGTTTGACTGTATAAATATAAGTTGTTCCACAAATATTGTCCAGAACTTGAAGTGTCCGGATTAATGAAGCTTCACTGTATTTTGTAATTTTAAACCATCAAAATCCAACGAGTTTAACATTAATATAGAAATTTTTATTTAGATATCCTTTGTATTTTGTGTCTAACATCACTGTATCAAGTATTTTTTTTTTTTTTTTTGATATACCAGTCTTACTTTACTGTACACTTAAGATATAAAGAAAAATGTTAATACACCAAATTTGTGTCTAAAAGGAGTATTTAGGAAGAAAAAGAATTAAAATCAGATTTATTGTAATCTGAACAGTAAGAAAACTAAATTTGGACACATAAAATTTAGGAAATATAATTATGTGTCCCAAGGGATAGAGGGAAAAAGTATGGAAAAAATAAAAATATAGTCAAGATACATGTATGTAACAATTTTTAAGGTCCAGCAGTAATGAATTTGTATCAATTTTTTGTGTGTGTAGTCCTGCAGATTTCCTGAGCAAAATCAATATATACAGTATTGTTTATGCATAAGGACCCCCTAAATGGGGGGGGGGGGGGGAGGTAAGAGATACCTATTAAATTCAAGAAAAAAACAGATTTAAATTACCACCAGTTAGTTTGATTTATATTATTATGAAATATTCAGGAGTGTTGGAGAGAAAATATTGTAAGTGGATTGATAGAATGTAGAACATTGTATTCATTGTTACAAAGTATTGATCTGAAACAGAAGATAAAGTTGTTAAAGCATTATTTAAAAACCTAAATGTTGCTTCGATGATATTGTTATCAGAACATTTGATTTAAAATGATGTTCAATTTCCTTTGAATTATGAATTAAAATTAAAATTTTCAAACAGTATATTTTCACAATTTCATATGAAGTGAAACTTTTTGCTTACTCAATTACAAATTGTGATGCAAAACTATTCAAGACTATTATTCATGCTTTTTTCCCTTTATCCTACCTGCATGTCATTTAATTTGTGCGAAATATGGTTTTTTTTTGGTTTTTATTTTTTAATTTCTCAAAATGGGAAAAACCTTGTTGCTTTCAAATGCTTAATGCTTGCCTTTAAAAATATTTGTGAGAATTTTGATAATTTTTTGATGCCACAATTTGAAAATGCATAATTTTATGTAGCTGTTGATCAACAAAATTGAACAGTGACCTATTAGTTTACAAACACACATTTGATAGATATTTGTGTTAGTATTCTCTCTATACTGTTAACTAGACAAATAAGATACTTAGTCTATGCAATAAATTTGAATTAAATTTGTATATGTGTAAAATAAAGAATATTAGACAAAGACAATTGTATGTCTGTTTTCTATGTATTGCATTACTCTTTAATTTTTTCTAATGTATGTGTTTCATTTTACTATTATAACTTTTTGTATATTAGAATAACAATCCCTGCGGAAAAGTAAAGAGATTATAGATCTAAAGAGAATAACTTTTTGAAAAAAAAATCTGTTTGGTACCATTCTTCAAGAGTATTCTTAAAAACACCGACCATCAAAAATGCACTCTACCGAGAACCAACGTTGTCATTGAGAAAGTGCGCTGTACAAATAAATAAACGAATAATTTATGAGATGCACTGAATATCAAGAAGACAGTGCATTTAATGAGTTTGCTAATTTTTATAATGATTAATATTCTAGGCAGTTACTTGAAACGGGAAGCTCTGGTTCGTCACAGATTTTTAAGTACACCGTCAACTTTTGATTTATAGAATGACACATGACCTCGTATGTTAATACGGCCATGATGATGCGCTGTGTTTTCCTTGAGTGAGTTTATATAGGTTTTGAAGAAAATGAAAGAATAAACATTTTTTCCATTTTGATTAAAGATATTCTGAAGTTCATTTTTTCCTGTTTTATATATAATCCAATTGTGATTGAAGCTCTCCCTTACTTTTCTTAATATTCCTCTTAATTAACTGAGTATATAGGACACTAGTAGCTAGTAGTTCCAAAACAGGATTACCTCTAAAAGTCATCTGTATTCTGTTTCCTGTCACAGCTTGGGATTGGTTGGAGCTATTTGGAGTTCTTATAGGCTTATGTTCATTGTTCAAGTACACTTGTTTGCCTATTAAGTATTTTGTGATAGAATTACAAGCCTCTGATAAGCCATGGCATTTAGCATTTTACATATCAGTTTTTCACTAGAACATCTAGATTTAAACCTGATTAGATCTGTGTCATCATACATATGTGATCGAGGAAATATTGGAATGTCTTCTGCATAGTGACTTACCAAACACAAGATTCAGTTTTAAAGTCCTTTTTTGTTCATTTTGTTGACATGTGTTAAAGATATACAATTATATATGGTTAAGACAACTGAATAAAATCGATATTGAACAGTTTCATTGGCCGCACAATGCATACTAATCATTATAATTTTTTAACGCAGTTAACCTTTTCAAATCCATAGCTTCTTGTGAAATTAACTGCATTTTACTCTTTGAATACTTTGATTCTTTTATTCAGGCACTATTTTCCTCAAACTCCAATCTACAAGGAGAAAATTGCAATAGACAATATTATGAAAAAAACATCATGGACATGTATCGATATCAAGTGTCTTTTTTAAGTCTTTGTTTAAAAAAATATACATTTACTTTAGAAAACTATGGTTATATCTTCATAACATATTTGTTTTATTTATATTAAAACCGACCACTGAAGATTGATTTTAATATTTTTTAATTTGATCTTATATTCACGAAAAGACTTGAAATATATACCCCTCCTTGCCGAAAAATACAAATGATACAATTATATTACGAGGCATATCTTCTGTAAATCTTTCGTCTTGTTAGAAAGATTGCATCCATTTAACCGCAATGTTAACGTATTAGATAATATTTTTTTCTGTATTACATTAGCATGATTTATGTCAACAATGATTATTGAAACACAAATGGCCTCGAACGTGAGACAGTTGTAATGAAGACAAATTTGATTTTGTTCTTTTCAGCATATACTTATGAATCTTAACCGATGAAAAAAGAGAAGATAACGAACAGTAATCGATCTTAAAAAAACCTACAAACTATACAAGTATGTAAAAAGAGCATAAAACAGGGATCCCTGAAAATTACAGAGGTGGGATCAGGTTCCTATATGAGGAGTCAGCATCCTCTGTCGACCGCTATTGATATAAAATATGTAAGTCAAAATACAACCCGATGATAAGTTGTATTTGCAAACAAGGTCATTATTACGGCCATAGAATTTTCGAAATGCTGACTTTAAACGAGGTTGTTGAAATCCCTGTAACATCAATTTATTTGTCAGTAGCCTATATGGGTTTAAAAATTGATGGTACACAGAGCATGTTCTTGCTTATCGAATAAGATGGGAGATACAACCACCATAAAGCAGATGAAAGTAAAATATTACTACATAAGGAAAGTTGACGATAGAAAAGCTGAATTCAACTCGTTTGTCATATATTTTAGTTGTTAGTTGGCCATTGTCGTCAATAGTCAGTAAAACATCCAAATATGAAAGAGATGCGACAGTCTCCGTGGTATCTTTTATTTCCAGTTCAAATATGTATGTCGAGTCGACATATGAGTGGAAGTAAGTATTGTCAATTGATAAAACGTTGTCTACATAATTATTTAGATGTCGAGCTGAAGGCCACAGCATAACTATTCTTCTCACGTAAAAAATTATGTATAGATTTTCCTGCATAGTAATATAAAATCAGGACAGTTCATACTGGAACACAATTAGTGTCCAATCGGAATGCCAACAGATTGTAGGAAAACCTGGTCTCTACTGACTACATTAGATGGTGTAAATGAGGAATTCCAGCATCCATTAATTTTAACTTCAGTGTACTACGTATGTATAGAATTAGAATGATTTTTAACAAAGTAATTTTGTAAATGACCAATCACAAGATAAAAAAATCCGAGTTCTATTTTTTTTTTCAAGAAGAACTTTGTATTTTCTCAAAGTTCTTGGGAGTTTTTGATAATCTTATTGGATTTACACTTCTCGAATTGCTGTAGCTCAGTATGTCTGAAGTTTCTCCATTACAGCAGTTAATATTTTTCTGAGGAGTAACTAAAGTGCCTTGGTTGAGCATTAAATGGACCATGCAATGTATCTTAAAAAGGATTTGTATGAGGTTTAGGAATCCCGTACAGGTCGGATAGATCGAACTCACTTTTTGAATGGAATGTTAAAAGTATTAAAGATTTAAATGTTATTTTTGAGAATTCCATCCTTAGAAAGTGAACTGTGAGTTTAAGTTGGATTTCCAGATGTAGAATTAAAATAAAGTTCTTATAAAGCAGTTATAATAATGGACCATACAAACAAAGATGATATTGTTTCAAGCCACGTCTGCTGGAACATAATGTTCATGTAGTCTTTCTAATTCTTTTATCACTTCAGATTTAGTAACACAATTGGTTAATATTTTTCTCAAACACTTAGTCCATTCTAACAAAATATACAGTTCTCCCTCTCAGATTTTGAACAACATCTGGCATAATGATCGACCAAATTCCTAAAGAAATGAAATTCGTTGCCATTTGAAAGACTGGGCCTCCCTGTAATTGGGATCTTTAAAAATTATTGCTTTTAGGTCGCCGTTTTCGATTTTATTTACATGGCTAGTAATGAATGTCTAGCGGGACTATAATTGAAAGAAGAGGAAGAGCAAGAACTTTCGAGAGGATTTTGTTTTAGTTGTTCTATACTATAAAAGTGGAATACATTGCAGTGTTTTTAATTTCACTATTTTCGCGATCAAAGAATTTTCCATATATATCATATTGTTGATATATCAATAACATTCACTTATTTTTACATTTTAAAATCATGCTTTTCTTCTATTTCCTTTCAGGAAAATCGTGAATAAATCTTAACAAATAGAAAATTATCAAGAAAACCTGAGCGTAAAATAACAATGTCGTTTAAAGTTAGTTTATGTATCTCTTTATTTTAAATAATTTGCTATAACTTTCTTTGTTTTGTTTTTTTTAATAATTTATAAAATTGCAAATATATAATACAATGTAAAGAGAAATTGAGTTTCCACGAAATTCAAACCACCGTGAAATGTACTAACATAGGAAAATCGTGAAATATTGGACATGCACGTGAAATTAAAGACGTTTAAAGTATATTGACACTGAAAGGTTTGTTTATAATGAAAAGTTTGGAAACAACGAATTAGGAATATCTTTGGGAAATGCATGGTGTAGATTCAGGTATTTGGCTACGGTCATAAAACATTTCTTTGTGTCGGGTTAATGGTCTTCATATCAATTATTTCAATTATTTCAAAATTTTCCCAATTTTTAGCAAGGTTAAAATTGTGGACAGAAAAAGACACAGAAACGCCCTTAAGCAATACCCAATCACTATTTAACTTCGTTCGGGAACACAAAATTCCATTGATTAAAACAGATTTGGTTATAACTAACCTCAGATACCTAATTTGACACCTTCAATACCTGGCTCTGTAGATTGTATTTTATCTTGTTGTTTAGTGAAGTCTGGTTCCTGATTTTGATTATTTTCTGTTTTGGAATGGGAAGCTAAATAGAATACAAAATGAAAATGTTGATATCTTTTTAAAAAAAGTACATAAATGTTAGAGAGAAGATATGTTAAAATATATTTCTTTTTCAGAGAAGCCTTTTTGTGTCACGTCATTGTCTAGTATATTCAACAACAAGGAATCTGTTCGAATCTATGGTAAACATATATTTTTTTTCTATTTTACTTCCATTACCTGTTTCTGGTGCAGATGTATTAGGCTCGGGTATGCTGGGTGTCGTTAAGGCTTGCATATCTTCAATCTTTATTCTCATATGTTGTTCTGCAAAACAGGATTCAGTTTGTTCAAAGAAACAGTGCATATTAACTGTTGCAGTATGTTTGAGTGTTTACTTCTACTTTTACTTTTTTTAGAAGAGTGTTTGATCAAGGTAAAGTATTATGGTCAGGATTTTTTTTTAGGATTTCTGTGAAATAATTAACATCCTTTAAAGATAGAAAATATCGACATTATATATAAAATTGACCCCGATTCTATGCATAATAAAAGGTGAAAGCTTTTTATTCAGCAAATTTTCTCTACCTTTCTTCCCTATTTCTGAAGCAGTTGTATTAGACACTGGTACACTGGATTCCATGACGGTGGTTTGGACATTCTTTTTTCTAAACATATTTCCTACAAAATAGGTTCTTATCAGAAAAAAATGAAGTATAACAATTTTTCATTCTTGCTTCGCTTAAAAGACAAGTAAACTTGATCAAGTTAAAAGAGGGACCATGCAGGTTTATTTAAGTGAAAGGGTCTGGCTAAGCCGACCACGTGATCTTATACCATCCTTGGCTGGGCGTAATTAATTAATACATCGACCAAAGCGTGGATCTAAGAATTTTTACAATTATAAAGGAATTTTAAAAGCATTAATTCCTTATGGGAATCTCTTCATAAATTCCCTGCATTATATACATAAATACAATTATAATTCTAACAATTGTTGCTTTAATTGTACAGTTATACCTTTTCTTAAAATGTATCAAATTCATTATGAAGAAATATATTTGCTCACGAGAATATTATTTTCTGTTACATGAAAAAGAGTACACTGTTCACTTGCAAACACAGAAAGTTTTATATCCATATCTATTTCTCATAACCAAGCAAGTATATGAATGTAAGAAAGGTTCAAAGAGAGAACGAATAGTGGAATTCTTACTTCGATGGCCTTCGGCTTTCTTAACATATGATTTATCTGTAAATATAAAGTATTTAACTGATACATACATCATCGTGTTTCTTAAAGAATCATTTATGTTGATAATATTAAGTTTGAATTTCGACTTTAAAAAAACCTGATAAAACAAAGCATTTTGACACATATATTTGATATCATTTAATATCTAAGCAGACTGATAAAAAAAAATCACCTGCTGCGAGTTGTGGCATACTTAGATGGTTATCAGGAGAAGCTGAAAATCCTCTTTCTGTCCGTAAAAATTAATAAATACACGTATATTTAATACTCATTATATCTACATTAATGATACCAGTATCGGATTGTAAATGAAAGTGAACGATAAAGTCATAACATGAGTATTTCCTAACGCTCCCACTTCGAATAATTTCATTGCTGTGTATAACATCTCAGTCGAAAAAATGCTTGCTTCCAATTTTTCAAGTAATCATGTTTTGGGAATCTTAGAAGGCAATGAATTGAAAAGTTGAAAATAATAAAACGAGCTATCATTACCATATTTGTAGAAAATACTGATAAATGTGGTAAATACATGTACCACTCACTGAGATCTTGACTAGGTGGAGGTAACCTCACATTATTTATTTTATTTTCCACATACATTTGTCCATCAATCGATCCATAAAAATCTGCAAAATTACAAAAATATATAAATATACGTAAAATTCTGAATCACGTATACAAGAATTTCACAATACACTACAAAATAGCTAAGAAAATATGCTAATTTTGATTCATTTTCAGAGTTGCTTGTTTTAGTATTTGGCATAATTAATTTATTTCTTCTGGATTACGGTATTGTGTGAAGTAGATTATACAGATTTATAAAATGAAAGAGATTGATTAAATACTATCAATATCTGACCTACTGAAGGAGGCGGTGGCATATCTTTGTTGAATTTTAACTTTTTCCACTTTTTAAGCGCTGGTCCAATTTCTTTTAAATTGGCTGAATCTGCAAACAATTTAAAGACAGCTATGTAAAAAGGTCTTTTACAATCAATGTGATTCCAAATAAATTTCTTCAAAGAATTTTTTTTTCTCAAAAAGGAAAGCTTTATCATTGAGTCAATTGCTGACTGACATTTTTCATACAAATTGTTAGGCCATTATTTACACACTGAATTGTCGACGGATTTTTACGTCATTTCCCGATCATGACAAGGAGCACACGGCGGGTGTGACCGGTCGGCAGGGGATGCTCACTCCTCCATGGCACCTGATCACACCTCTGATGTTTGGAGGTCCGTGTTTGCTCTGCTCCTATTTTGTATTGTTTGATGGACTTTTGAGCCTGAATACTGTTCGTTATCTTCATATATTTCATTTTAAAGATATTAATATTTTACATATAAAATACTTACTCACTTCACCATTTTCTGTAATTAAATACTATGTGTTTAATGTTAACAGTAACACAGGAAGATATTGTTTTCGCGTTGCTCTATGAATCAATCAACAACTTGGTATAATTCGATCAATAAATTAATCATTAATTTATTATTCATAATAAACCAAATATAAAGGGGCAAAAATCTGCTCTATTCCATTCAGAAGTTCAAAATTTTACTATTTTCAATGTTCAGAATTAATTAGTAATTATCCTTAAATATGACCTTCATTCATATAAACATATGATCTGAAAGAATTAGTGAATGGGAATAAGGACCAAATTTTCTTACCATGAGATACTAACTTATTCTTCTCAATAATTCGTTCAATCTTTGGTTGTTCTTCAAACGAGTATTCTTTCAGTTGAACGAGTATTTTTTCAGTCCCATCTGTATCGAAACAGAAATTAAAAATAGCATCAATGTACATGTACCTTTAAATAGGTCTGAAACCTGAAAGAATTGATGTCCGTAATCTTTCTTGCAGTAGATCATAGATTGTTTTAATTAATGCAACTGTTTGGAACTCTTTGAATTTCTTTATAGCATCCAAATAATGACATTAAATGGCTGTGTGCGTGGAAAAAAAAAACAGTTTTCGAGTGTATATACACAGTTAGTAATAGATATGGGTGAAAATTTGCCTTGAATTTACAGTGTAGATATGGGTCAAAATTTGAATTGAATATATTCAGCAGATTTTGGTTTTCTTTATTCCAGATTAATGCATTTAATTCAGCTAATGGATAAACTTAGACAAAGAAAAAATGTTGCATTTAACTAAAAATAAAGTGCTTTTATAGGGAGTTTCACTTCGGTTAGTTACGTCGTAAATGATGCACTTTACCTTGAATTCACGAGACAAATTCCGGATGAGGCCACAAAAAGGATCAACGGTTTTTTTTATTGAAATATGTAGAAAAAATCTTAACATTCTTAATAAACACTGAAACACTGGATCAGAAAAGATGAAACTTGTGTGTAGGCATTCTGAGGTTGTGTAGATTCTAAACTATTCAACTTATGGTCCCGGAGTTAGGTTGGGGCCACAAACGGTTATACAATTTTCGCATGGAAGTATATAAGAAAATTGCTAAGAATAGAAACATTAATTTGCAAATATTCCCATATCGTTGAATTCAATTTTTTTTATTATATGGACCCTGGGTTAGAATTGGCTTAAATCAGGATCAAATTTTACATAATGAATGTAAACAGGATATGAATTTTCTTCTCCGTATAACTGCAAGGCCAAGTTAGTCATATTGATACTGAAGCATCACCATACACGTGAATTCAAAGACCCCTTACAGTTAGGGTGGAGCCATATTATGGAATCAAAAGTTTTCATGGCAATATAATTATCTTTTTTTAAATCTGAAGAAGAACAGCAAGGCTGAAGAATCTTTTTACACTGCATTTTAACGCATTTTTTCCGTTTATCCGATCATTACTAGGAGCACACTGCGGATGTTACCGTCGACAGGGGATTCTTACTCCTCTACGTCACTTGATCCGACTTCTGATGTTTTTAGACAGGTCTGCTAATAACGGGGCGCATGGTAATTCCAACAGATTGTTGAAAGACCTGATCTTCAAAAACTTTTTTTTATCTCTTCGTAATACACAACAAATTAAATCGATCATAATTTTCTTGCGATTTTTAAACTGTTTTCAAAATTTTTTAAGTAGATAAAGACACCAAAAAATTGCAATATTGGCAATGCTTGTGATTTCCAATAGGATTATATAGTAAATAGCATCCTCTGTTATCTTGCACAAATGCCTGGTACATATGGTACCTTAATTTTTTGTGTGGACACCTGTTAAAGTAGCAATTCTTAAATGAAAAATTCTTGGAAAAAAAATATTATTTTATAATTCAGGAACGTGCCGTCTGGTCTTAAATACTGTGTATTCGATAAGAATAAATGTTTGAATAAAATTACGTTTTCATAATGATTCTCGAATACGTTTAAAGCTTAAGCAAGTTTTCAATACATATTATGTCTTTTTGTTTATAAATCAAAAATCTAATAAAATTAATACTTTTTTTCAGCATGTTCATTTAATTTTATCATGTATAGGTAAATGTCATTGATTTCCTAATTTAATAGGGATCGAATATTAATATCCTCTGTGATACCTTCAATACAGTTTTAACTGTAGTTCTTAATTTGTCTTAAGGTGTTTATCTTGAACTATTTGAAAGGAAATTAAGCTCTTTCTTATTTGTACAGTTTAAATACAATACATGTAATTGAAACTTCCTTTGTCCTGAACAACCTTTTTTCTCTCTCTTTTTTTTAGGTCACCTGAGTCACACCCAATTTCAACCAAATTTGGCATATAGCATCTATGGGTGAAGGGGAACAAAAATTGTGAATTTCATGGTCCCTGCCCCCCTGGGGCCTGAGGGGTGGGGCTAAAACCACCAAAATTAATGCAATATTTAAAAATCTTCTTCTTTACTCCTGGACATCAAGCAGTCAAACTGTTGGCATGATTGTAATAAGCATTGAGCCCTCTACCAAAATTGTGAAATTCATGGCCCCAGGGTCAGGGGTTCTGATGCTAGGGAGGGGCTATACAGATCATATAGTGAAAGTGCATTATTTCTTGAAAATCTTCTTCTCTGCTCCTGGGTATTAAATAAACTAAGTACATAGTTATGTTGAGCAAGAGTGCCTCTACCGAAATTGTGAAATTCATGGCCCCAGGGGCAGGGGTTCTGGTGTTAGGGCGGGGCACTATTGATTATATAGTGAAAATGCATTAATTCTTTGAAAATCTTCTCTGCTCCTGGGTATTAAATAAACTAACTAAGTATATAGTTAGAATGAGCAAGAGTGCCTCTTCCAAAATTGTGAATTTCATGGCCCCTGGGTCAGGGGTTCTGGTGTTAGGGCGGGCCTCTATTGATTATATAGAGAAAATGCATTTATTCTTTGAAAATCTTCTCTGCTCCTGGGTATTAAATACAGTAACTAAGTACATAGTTATGATGAGCAAGAGTGCCTTTTCCAAAATTATGAAATTCATGGCCCCTGGGTCAGTGGTTCTGGTGTTAGGGTGGGGCTCTATTGATTATATAGTGAAAATGCATTAATTCTTTGAAAATCTTCTCTACTTCTGGGTATTATTTAAACAAACTTAGTACATTGTTATGATAAGCAAGGATGCCTCTTCCAAAATTGTGAAATTCATGGCCCCGGGGACAGGAGTTCTGGTGCTAGGGCGGGGCTATATAGATCCTATAGTGAAGGTGAATTATTTCTTTGAAAATCTTTTTCTCTGCCCCTGGGTATTGTTTAAACAAACTAAGTACATTGTATTGATACGCAAGGATGCCTCTTCCAAATTGTGAATTTTATGACCCAAGGTTTGAGGCTTATAAAGTGAAAAAGCAAAATTTCTTTGAAAATATTCTTTTCTGCTTCTGGTTAAAAAAGCAAAGAAGCGAAGTGTATAGTTATGATGAGCAAGAGTGCTTCTTCCAGAGTAATGGATTTCATGACCCCTGGGTCAGATGTGCTGGTGTGAGGGTGGGGCTCTTGATAATATTGTGAAAATGCATCAATTCTATTAAATAATCCTGTTTGCTCCTTAGTGTTAAACAGATAAACAAAGTGATTAGTTATGATGAGCAAACTTATGGTCTCAGGGTCAGAAGCTCTGGTGTTTGGGGGGGGGGGGGAGGGGGGCTCTATTGATAATATAGTGAATCTGTAGTAAAAATGCATTATTTCTTTACAAATCTTCTCCACACCTGGGCATATATGAGGCAAACAGAGTAAAAGTTTTTATAAGGAAGGGGATTTTTACCAGATTTTTGAACATCTGGGCCATTTGGTCAAGTGTTCTGGTCCTGGCCAGGACTCTATTAGTTTGTATTCTACTGAGAGGAATTATTCTCCTTTCCCATTTACTTTTGATAATTTGTCACTGTAAATAATGTACTTGAAAGGTAAATAGAATAAGAGAATTATGCAAAAACTTTTATTGTATAATACAAAAAGTACTTTTATAGTTTTAATGATCAGATAGACTTGTAAGTAGTAGATAAATAAAAATGAGACAAAAATAACTTTTCTTATTAAATGTTCATCAGGGACCAAGAGAGGCCAACGTAAGAGATTTCAACAAAGGATTAAAATAGTACAGAAGCATTGACAATTTTTTAATATACTGTATGGTTATAGTGATAAATGGGGAACAGATTAAAACCTAATTTATGAACTGTTAATGAATATTAAGACCAATTATTTTGTTGATCATGATCACCCTATTTATTTTGCTTTTGCTCATTGAATGTATGTATATGCAGTCTATATATAGGTGTAATAGGAGAAAGTCCGATGAAATGTGAGTGAGGAAAATAATTTATTGTATATCTAAGCTCCCATTATCGAAGATTCGGGGCATATAGTTTTCGATGTGCCCTGCCGTCTGTCCGTTTGTCTGTTAATCTGGTTGTCTTTAACCTTGTAAATGACTTTTGAATGTTTGGTACTAGGGTTTTCATATTTAACATGTGTATTCCTTGTGACTTTTGAATGGTTGATGCTGGGGTTTTCATATTTCACAAATGTATTCCTTGTAACTTTTGAATGTTTGGTACTAGGGTTTTCATATTTCACATGTGTATTCCTTGTGACAATTGACTGCTTGATTCTAGGGTTTTCATATTTGACATGTTTATTAGTTGTGACAAGACCTTGGAGTTTGACTTACTTTTACAAAATTTTACTAAATTTCAACTTGGTTTAACCTCTTGAACTTTTGGTGGTAGGGCCTTTAATTTTTATATGATTATTCCATGTAATTGGACCTTTCTTTGATATTGGAGCATGATCTACTTTTGAAAAACTTTAACCTTGGCCATATTTTCTTAATGGTTGGTGCTAGGGCTTTCATATCTCACCTGTGTATTCCTTTTGTCCAGACCTTTCTCTGGGTACTAATATGTTTAACCTTGACCTTGGAGTTTGACCTACATTTGGAAAACTTTAACCTTGGCTTTGAGCTGCCCTACGGGGACATCAGTGTTTCAAAAACTTGTTTTTAAATTTCATAAAACAATCACTGTCAAGCAATTCAGCATGCTCATGTTTGTCTTAATATATGATTTTTTATATATCCTATTTTATTTATTTATTGTTTTCATTACTTTTCCTGTAATAGTTTATGTAAGACAACTCACTTTTTCCAGATCCATCTGAATCTATTTCCGGTAACTGAAACGCAGAATAAAATAAAGAATGAATGGTTTTCTCCACCATCAACAGAAAAAAAGTTTTAGAACCAGACATAATTAAATCCTTAGCTAAGTGAAGATGTATTAACCCACTTACCGATTTTGATCGAACAACAACAGCAATATAACAACACAAAAATAATCCATATGTCCTTTTAGTTTCCATAACAAAAACAAAACGGTAGCAATTTCAAATATATCCTTTTAAAAATATTATTTAGCTCTCAGGGCACATTAATAATTTCAAGTATCTGCTTATACATGTAATCAGACCTAGTTCGTGATACAAGATTCATTGTCTCACATGTTGTGTCAAATCTTGCATTTATAATTATCAAATGTCTATAGTCATCTTACCAATCATATTTGAATGTGTATGAGATACGAAGAAAACGATTGTTCATTCATGACTTTGTATTTATGTTCCGGAAATTGCATTATAAAATATTGTAAATTAAATTCAAAGTATAAATAGAAATAAGAAACTATAAATTCCTTAGAGCGTGACATATAAGACTCTCAACAACTATATACCTTGAAAATCTTTTTTTAAGATTTTTTTTTTTTTTTAAATTGCAACTTTATTAAAAAACATTTTTTCAGGCGATTCACATTTCAATTTTGAGCTCTTTGAGACATAACATATATTTTATACTTAAACACAAAATATTATGATGTTAAAAGTGTGAGTTTAATAAAAAGAAAACAACAAACATTTTTCATTTTAATCAGACAAACTTTAAAAGCAGGTATTTCTTTACAACAAATAAGTGTTTCAAGGAACTGATATATACTGCATGCACAAGCAATTCATAGCATAAGATAGAGGATTTATATAGGCATATTTACATATCATCCAATTCCTTCTCCTTTTAAATTAGATATTGTTGTTATTAGATAAATTGAAATTTGATTATTTCAAGCTTGATTTTATTTTTCATATATAATTGAAAAGAAGGTCACACTTTAATTAAAACTTAACTTGTTCTAAAATTAAAATTAAAGTAATGTTTAAGATCTAGACCAAGCTACAGACCGTAAAATACTATTAGTTTCGGAAGTTCATCAGATATAATCTCTATCTGTAGAAATATAAGGACAAAAGGATTTTTCTCCAAAATTTAAAAAAAAGGTCCAGTTGATGGTTGTTTTAACAGGAATTTGAAAAATTTTCGACTTGCTAAATATCAATTTTGGTCTTATATGGTTCAAAGTCGTAGGTCAAAATTAATTTTTGAAAAGTAGAACATGGGTTAAGTTCAGTTACATAAGGTCTGTAAGTCAAAAACTTTCCAAAGTTCTCGTTAATTGCTAAATAAAAACACAAAGCTTAAAATTTTAAGTCTCAAAAGACGTATGGATATAGGGCAAAGTTAAATTATTCACAAAAGGGCCGAAAATCGCAGAATTTGTAAATTTGGTCCATTATTTTTTTTTAAGCGAATGAACAAGCAATGCACATTGTAAATTTCAAGCCCATTTTTTTTCTCATTCAAAGAATATGAGATTGATGATTTAAAGAAAAATGAAAGATTTACATGTATTTCAATGTCAATGGGTCAACAATCTGCAAGTTGAGAGCTCAAAAAAGTCATAAACAAAGCAAAGGTGAGATTTCACGATCCTAGACTTGTTACATATGACGGACGAACTGACAGACAACAGACAGAATTCACAATCAATGGCTCTATTTCGATTTTATTTTCAGAATCGGACGGAAGACCTCTCATTGCTCGCAATGAGTTTTGTAGTTATAATTACTATTATTATTAATGGCTCTATTATACAAGTCAGTAACTGGGCATCATTTTGTGTCTCTTTTAAGGGAATACTTTAGTGTTTTAAGAAGTGTCCCTTTTATATTGAATCCACTTTAAAAAGATATTGCATGTGCATTTAATGCATTTTCAATACTTAAGTGTATGTGTATCAACATCATAATAGAAATGTTATATAATTTCATAATAGACGTAAGTGTTTGTTTCCCGTTAATCACGCCGAAAACTAACTTTGCGAAAATAAAAGCTTTTTTATAAGTTTTTGTTACAATGCAGAAATGAAGTAAAAATTTTTTTTAAAAAAATAAACGAATAAAAATACCAGTTCTGCCTCTCGAACAGATTATATCGTAAATATTTCTAATAAATATTCTAGTAATCTCTTTCCTACACTACAAAAAGTATTTTTTTCATTTAATTTAAAAGGCAAATCCGAAATAAAAAATTGAGTTTTTAAAAAAAAAAAACTGTTTTAATTTGAAGTCGACATAATTTTACCCCGACATTTACTGCAATAGAAAATACATGTAAATAAGCATCAAAATAAAATAGTTTCAGATCTATCATTTTTCGCAAAGCCAATAAAATCTTTTTGAATTGCTTTAAACAGATTTATTAATCGTCATAGTCATCGTCTGATTCATCGTTGTAAGCTTCCTCTCTCTCGGCAAATGCCAGGAGATAAGGCTGTGTAGCGATAGCCCAGAAATCTGCCGGTTTTGTATTTTTTCCGCCAGGATTCCCTCTGATCATGATTTTCGCTCCGTCATTTTTGGTTGTAAATCTCCAGTCTTCGATTTTCGTTGTTGATCGCCATATCTCAAATACCTTTGAGTAATCATTCAAAGACAACTGTTTCAAAAGCCAGAGGCTTCTGTTGTTTCTGGCATAGTATTTATTAGGTTTCTTATACTCAGCTTCTTCCATGTTCTTCAAAATGTAATCGAGATAGTCCTTCTTGCCTTCAATAATTGCATCCAGTACGGCTCCTAGCTCCTTGCCTTGTAATATCCCCTTCGCAAATTTATTTTTCACCGAGTCCTGAGAGAAACTAACATCTTTCAAGGGATCAACTTTAACCTAATAGATGAAAGAAAAGTAGCTATGAAATACACATACATGTATTTAGTTTTTATTATAAATATCCAGTATTCAAATAGAATATAGAAAATTCTACCGTTTGCAATAATTAGCTTTATTTGTTAAATTCTCTTATGTATAAAATCTTCATACACATTCATTTTCCTCAGTTTTTCTTTTTCATGATCACCACACACACACACACACCTATACACACACACACACACACACACACACACAGAGAGAGAGAGAGAGAGAGAGAGAGAGAGAGAGAGAGAGAGATACAAAACTTCTTTTTTATGTTAACCATGATAATAAATCATTTTTACATTTACTTTCTTAAATATACTAAATTTGTATATATACCTTATGCCTCCCGTCCATATTTCTTGAAAGAAAACGATATCAAAACCAAAAGTGACTGGTTTTCCCAACTGAAACCGGAAGCAAGTTTTAAAACCGACCCTACGTATACTGTGTTCCATTCAAGTATACACTTTTAAAAGCGCAATAATGGGGGATAAATTTTATTCTATAACGTTATAATAATCATATAAATTTTCTTAAAGAGAAAATGTGTTTTTTAAGAAAAAATATTTCTTGTTTGAACGGCCCTTCAGCTGTATTTTAATACTCAGTATTTTCTGAAAACCATATTTTTGGAGTGCAACCCTCTGGTTTCTCCATTTAAATGAAATCTGTACTTCGATGTTTTAATACTAGTAAACCTTCAAAAGTTTTGTTGTTGTTGTTGTTGTTGTTGTTGTGTGTGTGTGTATTAAAGTATGTTAATGTTAAATATAACAGAATTTGAACCAATTAACATCTTCTACATGAAATATGGAGATAACCAACAGTATTCAAGCTCAAAAGTCCATTCAAACAATACAAATGAGGAGCAGAGAAAACACGGACCTCTAAAACATTAGAGGTGGAATCGGATGCCATGGAGGAGTAACTATTATTAATTGAAAATAAGATATATCTAAATGTCGAGTTGAAGGCCACAGCAAGTGTTTTCTTCTCATGTAAAAGGTTTGAATTAATTCTGCTTCATATGATTACAGAATTAGGTCTGCTAATAACGGGAGGCAATTGGTATCCATAGTTATTCCGATAGATTGTTTGAAGACCTGATCTCCAAAAACTTCACAAATATTTTCAATCAGAACCAAGTATCTGTTTAATGTCAACTTCAAAGTGCTTGTGTGTACAATCAGAATGTTTTTTTTAACAAAATAATTTTGCAACTGACCAATGACAAGGTAAGTAAATTTACGAGTTCCATTTTTTATTGAAAAAGCAGCTGTCTATGATGTCAAAAAGCGTGGAATTTAATTTATCGCGAGGAATGGTTGTGTAAAGTATTGAAAAGTCGTACATTTTAATGTTATTGATTTTGGTAAAAACAAAATATGATTTCAAATTTAATACAAGTTCTTTGGATTTTTTTTTTAGTATCAACATCTGATTTACACCTCTTCTCGAAAATATTTTTGTACAGTACTTCTGAAGCTTCTCCTTCACTAATGTTAATATTTCAGTGAGGAGTAAAGAAAGAGGCTTGGTAGATCATTTACTAAAATCCGCTATTTTTGTAAAGATTTTAATGAAGTTTGGGACTCCAGTATAGGTATGGTAATTCAAATTTATTTTGATTGTTGGGAATAATAAAAATATTATTATGTATAGGGTGAACTTTGATTTGCCTGAGTTTATTATCTCCATATTTTCCATTGGATATTAGATCTTCATTATATAACAAGATTTTTGTTTGCACGTATGTCTTATTTACAACAAAATATTTCTTTGCCTACTCATTTGAATGAAAAGCCTATCATACAACCGAAATTTAACTTCAAGCACTAAACTCTGACCCAGAAATTAAATTTTTTAAAATTAAATATAAAGGCTAATTTTTACATGGATGTTACTAATGCTATAACAGTGACCAGGTCTTTAAATCAGAAAGTGTGTATAAGCCTATACACGTTATCACATGAAGTTCATTCAGCTGTCAAAAATACAATAATCATAAAGTTACTTTTGAAAGAAACTTGATGAATTGTTTTTAAAGAAAAATATATATATTAGATATGTCTAATAATACTCAAAAGTTAAGCTATACACTCATTTCTTAACAATTGTAATTTTTCTACAATTGATTGTGTAGCATAATTAAATACATGAATATATGATTTGTTAATCTTTACACATACATAAGTCATTAAAAATTGTATATGTCAAGGAGTGAATTTATGTATTTTAATGTATTTTAATGTCAAGGAGTGCATTTATGTTTTTTACTTTTACTTTGATGTTTCAGCATCTGTGTTATATTTATCAATTTGACATCTCTCCCCCTCGTGTCCCACGGTATCAATGGCAGTATTGTAAGTTTTATATTCAGCGTAGAGATAAAAGATTGAGCATTTCCTGTCTTGAGAATTCGGCCTAAATTAATGTCAACCATCTTTCTTTTGATGTTACAATTTCTGTTTTATTCCATTTCATTGGCTATCTTTAGAAATGTGGGAGGAGTTTGGGGGAAAGAGATGAGATTTGTGTGTATGTTAGTTTTGAGTCCAAGAGTAGAGCTTTAGCGAGTTGTATGTAACTTTTTGGAAATTCATGAATAAAGAACCATAAAACATGTAGTGACGAGTGTTTTCTTGGAAGGCCTAATCACATCGTCACATATATGACCAAAAGATGATTCTCATATGATGGGCCTTTGACGATTATTGTAATTGTGTTTACCAATAAATATGTGTATTTGTTTTAAGTGGAGTACTAGTGCATGGCATTTGGGTCAATATTGCCAAGTGAAATATTAAATTATATATAATTGTTAAATATATAAGAATTACCTGTCTAGGTTTTTCTTATATAAATGGGGGTTAGAAAATTATATACTTCTTCGTTTATGCGGACAACCACGTGTTCTTATACATAAACCTCATCAAACCATAAAAAACTAGTCAATTTATGAATGACATCCATTTCAGTATCAAAACTTCATTTTAATCGATCACCTTAAATACCAGGATTTGTAGTTCTAATACATAAAAGTCTCTTTTAGATATATCCCACTTTTGTGATGTCCTTTGAGAAAATTTAAGAGAAGCAATTCTATGCAATTTATAAATCTGTTTCCTAATAATAGAAGAGGGACCGTGGGAAAAAAATAGAAAAATAAAAAGTAATGAAAGTTGAAGCAAAAGATAAATCAATATTTATGACATTTCATTTATTGAATGATGTGCTTAACAAATGTATGCAATACAATCTCATCAAAAGAGCGAATGTGTTCCTCCACATTTTTTGCAATAAATATTCAAGGCAATTATACTTATTATGATGAAAATCATAATTATTCTGAATTTCCTTGATTCAAATCTGCACACTAGTATTCATCATCTGATTCATCTTTGTAACCTTTTCTTTCTGTAAAGGTCACGAGATAAGACTGTGTTGCAATATCCCAGAATTCTCCACCTTTTGTGTACTTTCCTCCGGGATTTCCTCTGATCAAGATTTTCTTCCCATCGTTGCTAGTTGTAAACCTACGTCTTTTAATTTTCCAATTTGACCGCCATATTTCGAATTCCTCGGCATAGTTATTTAGAGAAAGTTGCTTTAGAACCCAAAGACTCCTGTTGTTTCTGGCATAGTATTTGTAAGGCTTCCTATACACAGCTTCTTCCATATTTAAAATGAATTCAAGGTATGTTTTATTTCCTTCCAAAATAGAATCTAACACAGTTCCAATCAACATGTCTTTCAATATCCCCTCTTTAAATGTATTTCTTATTGAATCTTGAGAGAAAGCTACATCACTCAGAGGATTGACTTTCACCTAGGTTTTAAAAAAGAAAAAAAATCTAAATTGTCTCTACTAAGTATCATTATGCACAGCAACTTATTTTTTGTCAGCTGATACAATCTATCATTAAGTAAAATGCTGACTGACGTTTTTCATGCTAATTGTTAGGCCATTATTTACACACTGAATTGTCTACGGATTTTTCCCGATCATGTCAATGAGTACACGGCGTGTGTGACCGGTCGGCAGGGGATGCTCATTCCTCCATGCCACCTGATCCCATCTCTGATGTTTTAGAGGTCCGCGTTTGCTCTACTCCAAATTTGTATTATTTGAATGGACTTTTGAGCTTGAATACTGTTCGTTATCTCCATATTCCATTTTACCAAATTGAAAGAAAAAACTGCTATCATCTCTCCAATTCTATAAAATAGTACTAATTTAATGCAAAATGGTCGCATTTAATAATATTTTGAAGCTGATTGATTATAAATGATCTTTATTGCTATAATTAAACATGTAAATGATGCCTCCGATAAGTTCATGGACACTATACGGGAAAAGCTGTGAAATCGGAATTGCGACAAGTTATAATTAGTTGTTACATTTAAATAAGTTGATTCATTATTTCAAAAATCTCACTAATTTGATTTATTTTTTAAAAATCCTCGACGCACATGACTGATTAAAGGTAATAGAAAATGTCAAGATTGACACGAATTCAAGTCATGGTCCTTGACATTTTGTTTTAGCCGTGAGCACATTTTTACATGTAATATAAATGTACCTTTATATATCACATACATAACTTAATAGTTTCGTCTTGAAAAAAAATCCCTTTAATTTAAATTTAAGTTCGCTATTAAATACCTGCCTTCTCTCTTTTTCCTATGGCCTTTTTATCACACAATACGTCTGCAAGTGTTGAATTCTTCCATGGGAATATTCTATAAAAGCCTGATGGAAAAGTTTCCTCATTTAGACTGTTCCGACATTTCAATGGATGGAATTCTGAAAATGCATGATCAATGACTTTATTTAATAAACATGTACATGTTCTCGTCAAACGACATCGATGAACATGGAACACTTTGCGAAAGTTTCCTTCTTTTAACTGAATATTCGGAGCTCAAAATAAATTCAAGAGAAGCCAAATAGGTGTTAATGATGAGGTGTACTCATTTTGTTAATATTTAAACATGTTGAATGTAAATGACACCATATACATAATTAACATGAATGTGCTTATTCTTATTCAAAGATTTAGTTTGTCATTAAACTTAAGATTATCATAATAATACTAGTGAAAGAAACCAAATCTAACGAGTACATCAACTTCAAACATTAGGAAGTTTTCGAATGCTTATATGCATTTATAATAATTTCTGGCTTTTTTTTTTTTTTTTTTTTTTTTTTTTTTTTTTTTTTTACAAAATATCAAAATAGTCCAGTTCCTTTAAACATATATAAAAAAAAGTAAAACAAATAAAAACATATGTACAGCAAAAAAGAATAAAAGTATTCTTCCTGAAAAAAAGAGAAAATGAAAGTCTTACCGGATGATCCAGCAAAAACAAGAATAAAAACAAACTGCACAAACA